CAGGCTATGCAAGTATATAAGCTTGCAGTCTGCTTCTTAGCTGGCTTTTATTCTTGATGAATTTTCGTCAGGTATGGTTTTCCCCTTGACGATATCTTTCACTTCACAGACGAAGGATCATCATAGATGCATCGGAGTCGAAGGATACTGCTCAGGGAACCTAATTACACACATCCACATTCAACTTCAAGCAATCCACCTTCGGTTTCCGGTGAGGCCAATTTACGAGTGCCAATTGCTTACCTCGGCAGCCTCATTTATCAATTGTCTTTGAACAAACATATTTTTTAATAGTGTGTGCTTCTAAATTGCCTGTTTTATTTGCAAATATTTCTTTGCTTGGTCTCTTCTCATATGCGTGAATATGACCATATCCATTTTGCCTATCACAGATCGTCGAAGCAGTACGAAATCGCTTACTTCAAATTCCAAATCTGCGGAATCAGAATTGGGGCTTGCTAAGTTCCGTATAAAGGGGGGGGCTGTTGTTGCCCCTGAATCTGGTCTCGACAATCAGGCCAGTATTCTATCTGATGGCCGTGGTAAACCATTAAACGCCACTCTCGGAATGGTCGATCTAGTGAGAGGCTCCAATTCATTCTATAAGTAAGAATTGGTATAAACTTCAATTTCAAGACGGCTCATTTTCTTGTTTACATTAGAAAGCCTGAAAGTTCCTTTGAAAACTATTTTGATACCAGAACTTTTAACAAGTTCCTTCGAGTTTTCATAAGGATGACATAAAAGGAGAACTTGGGGAAAAGTTTCAGTCTCCGTTTTTTATCCTAAAATATCTCCTTTATTTATTTTTGTTTTCCATTAAGATGCTACTCTTTTCAATCGTGCCTAAAGTATACTTGCCATTACGATGCAATTGGTCAAACCGGTTATATCTTATATCATCATTTTGGCTTGATTTAAAATATCATTACTTAATTAAAGAAAAAGATTAAGTACAAATATGGGACATGATAGGAAAGTTAGTTTATGTTTTTGTTTTTTCACCATTATCTTCTGAAAAGGGAAGACTATCAAAACACTTTTCATTCATATGTGGAATGCAGCTTTGATAAAATTGTATCTCTGCAGTCTACCTTATATTATGGAAACCTATCGCCGTGCTCGTTAAGGCGTCGCGATAGACAAAAAAAGCGTTTACATGCTATTGGATCCAGTAGTAATAAATTATTGATCATTAGCAGAAACTTGAAGCGAGACAGAATAACTTCAGAGTCGTTTTTAGTGATCATGTGATATCCAATAAGCGCGAACTTATAGAGGCCATTTAAATCAAGACATTTTAGGATGCGTAGAATGCAGGATATGATTGTTTTAAAATTAAAAACTGCTTTTGCAGTAACTACTTTACGTAGCAGCTGAGGAATGATGTGAAGCTTCTGTATTTACTACTATCTTTGTCCTTTTACATGTTTGGATTTTAGTGTATGTCTGAGGTCTTTAGAAATTTTTTTTATCCAGATAACACAGCTATATCCATTAATATAAGAGTATTTATAAAATATGCTTATTTTGAAGCTACCTTGCCAGGTTGCTTATAAGCATTATTTGATTTTAAATACATTTAAATTTGAATTAGTTTAACGATATTTGCTTTGCCTCCTTTTTAAATTCTATTAGGAACTTTACTAAATGATTTAAGATATTTAATTTTAAAGGGATCATTACTATTAACCTGTGTTCCGTTTACTTTTTCTTACCATAGAGCGAGGATCTATATGGCTAAATTCACAGCCAATGTTTTTCTGTTAATGGAGAGCATAGCATGTCGAAGTTAAAACGATTCAGATACTATTTAGTGCTTTCACAGATTTTGTTTCTTGAAAATGTATCAATTCACATATAGTAAATTATTCCTGATGGATTCTTAAGCAATCTATTCTCTTTGGACTTTTTGTTTCATTTAATCTAAGCATTCTTTAATTTTGGTTCTTGTGCATTTATATATATATATCTTTCTACATATTTATATTTCCAGGTTGCAGGCACTCAAGGCCGATGCTTCCTTAAATTTCTGGGTTTTTCGACATTGGGGTCGCATTGGTACCTCAATCGGTGGCACAAAACTAGAAGCGTTTTCTAATAAAATATTGGCTGAGGACTCCTTTAAGCTCTTGTATCTGGAGAAGACTGGTAATAGTTGGGACAACCCTTCATTTACAAAAGTTCCGAAGAAGTTTTATCCACTCGAACTAGACTATGAAGAGGTGCGTCTACATTTTTCATATTCTTCTAGCATCAAATAGGTAACCTTTACAAGATCTTTTGCAACCTATCAATAGATGAGCGCAGCTTACATTGACCACATTTAATTGTATTATGAAGTAGTATTATAAATAAGTTTCTATCTCCTTTTTCCTTCACTTCCTTTTTATTCACTTATCATGACTAGTATCATTATTTAATAAATAAGTCGTCCAAATTCTTCATAACCGACTTCATGCATTTTTTTGCTTACCACTTCTCGTGATTTAACTCAAACTCAGGCTGTTGATGATAGCAACAAACAGGCTTTATCAAAGGAGCTCTTTGCTTCAAAGTTACCCATTTCAGTTCAGGCCCTAATGAACTTTATTTTTGATGTCGAATCGATGAAGCAGACGATGCTGGAATTCGAGGCAAGTTTATTCAAGTTTACTGGTCTTTGATTTATACTGCCTTGCATTTTTCCACCGTATCTTAATTAATTTAAGTGCCATACCAACTTTTTGTTTTCAATTATTTTCTAAGGAGTGTTACACTAAACTTGTTATTCAGATATCCATTTGGGATTTACTGGGATTTATGCATATCAAATCCACTCTTTCTTCAACTTACCCTTAGATTGATCTCAAAAAGATGCCTTTGGGCAAGATGTCCAGGCGTCAAATACTTCAAGCATATGGCGTTCTTAATCAACTTACGAATTTGTTTGAAGATGCATCGCGATCCAATGCTGTCTCGGTGCCGCAGAATCAGCTAGTCAGCGCGTCAACACAGTTCTACACGTTGATTCCGCATGATTTCGGTATTCGCCAGCCACCATTGCTAGACTCCTTGCCAGCTATAGAAAAGAAGGCACAGATGTTGGAAGACCTTTTGGAAATCGAAGTTGCTTACAAGCTAATGCGGAGCAATGACGATAAAGATGAGGAATGCCATTTAGATCAATATTATAAGACTCTGAAGACGGATATTGAGGTGGGACACCTGTTAAATTTATTCAATTTCTTCCTTTTAGCTCCTACATTCATTTCATATACTAGCTTCCTCATTTTGCATCTTTAGCCTTTTTATGTGATATATGTTATGTTATATCATGTGCAACGGCTATTAGAGCTACCTCAATCGTTTCAAGATACATGTGTCAACGCACATTCATTTTATCAAATTTTGATTCACAAAGAATAATTTATTCGTATAGTAGTTGTTTGGCCTTGTTTTCGCAACTTGGTCATATTGGTAGGAAGACCTAGA